CCCAACATTAGCGGCCGGTCCCCACCACAGATGTACACCACACACACACACACATATGCGCACCACACATAATCACACTCAGAAAACATGAAAAACCAGTGCAAATTATGGAGGCGTGGAATTGTAGAGCTGCAGAACACACGTGGTGAAAAGAAATTCATATTTCCTCGAACACATTTGGATGCAGCTGCTTGAAGAACAAGTATTTCTACCCATTTCAAGTCTTTGGGGAAAAAAAACCCAGTCAATTCCAAGGTCAGCTGACTGGCCTCTGGGTTCATACCCTGTCTCCCCAAGATTGTGTCTCCTGTTTGTCATCTCTGTGTATGCAGTGACGGGATGAGTCCCGCTGTGTGTGTGACTGGGCTTTCTCACAGTATGGAGGTAAGTGTGGGGTGCAGGTGTGTCAAGTGTGTGTGGGGGTTCTGTACCTTTCCTAACTAGACCACAGACAGATGGACACACTTTAAAAGACACCAAGGACAGGCCTGGTAGTGGTGGCACTTGCCTTTAATCCTAGCACTCGGGAGAAAGAGGCAGATGGATCTCTGTGAGTTCAAGGTCAGCCTGGTCTACAGAATGAATTCTAGACAGCCAAGGCTACACAGAAAAAGTCTGTCTGGAAAAACCAAACCAAACCAAAACAAAACAAAACAAAAGGATACCAAGGACATACCTATGTCAGGTCAATGACCTCAGGCCTCCACAGTCCTAGAGTTCTAAGATAGGTTGGTGCGATCTCGTACCCACACCCAGAGCTCTGGATTGTAAGCCTGGATCTGGAAGGAAAACAACAATGAAACCAAACAGTTCTGTGAGAAGTTCCAGATGCTGGCTCTCGACTCCTCATCCTCGGGCCCACCTTCCAGCTCTCCCATTCCCCAATCCCACCTCCCACATTCAACCTCACTGCTCTCTCTCTCTGTCCAACCCATCCCTCTGTGCCCCACGTGCCCCCCCACACACCCACCTCTTCACACTCCTCCCGGGACACCCAGATCCTCCAGCCCATGGACCGAATGAACTGGAACCGCAGTTTGTGGAACATGGGGCGCTGGGCATAGCTCTTCCCGTAGAGGAAGTAAAAGATATCTTGTTTAGGGGCCTGGTTGTCCTCCTCCATGTCACTGGCCAGGTACCTGGGGAGGAATCAGGGTGTCGTAGAGCTCTTTACCAAGGAGGATCCATAAGGGGGACTGGGGGAGCATTTCATCACTGGACGGCATCAGCCCTGCCCAGGGTGAAGGGAGAGCCAGTCCACTGTGGGCAGGAGCCTGCCTCATGGAGCAGAAGAATCAAGCATCTGCAGAGCCCAGTGCTGTTCTTGGTGCTCTCGACACGAGATGGCCTCAGGATTCCCGTCTCCATCCTTTCCCTCTTCCCCCAGCTTGTGTCCAATGGCTGACACAGTCAACATTTCTGAGTTTTCTCCTTCAATTGCCTCGTGGCATAGACAACACACGTTGTAGGACTTGTTGAATGGACTGGTGAGCAAATGAATGGATGAGTGAACACATGGAAGCGAGAGTCAGGGCACAATCTAACACGGGTAACTTCACTGACTGGGTAGTGTGACAGAACCACTCCCAACATAAACGGAATGAAGGCGTCCCAAGAACGACAGAATTTTGAGAAGCCCCCCTTCAACAGGTGCACTCAGGAAAAAGAGGGTTATAGTCAACACCAGAGACTATAACCCTAAATATCCTACCATGATGGGGTTCTATTGCAACACTGCTGGAGGCAAAAACCAGAAGATTAAGGAAAGCAGCCAAGGGGTCTTTCACCTACTTTTTGTTTGATTTGAAATGTCCTCCTATATTGCCCAAGTTGGCCCCGAATGCCTGAGCTCAAGAGATCCTTCCACCCGAGTCTCCGGAGCTGCAGGAGGCTCCTCATCACACTGATTGGTCTTGGGGTTTCAGAGTTTGGACCGATTTTAGGGGGATGAACTGTCTCCAGGCACACAACTGTGAGACACGCGCACAGAAAACACAAGGTCAGAATGAGGACAGGGAATTGGGAAGGGGCCAGCCAGGAAGGGAGCGGGTATGAGGGTGATGGGGGAGCCAAGTTGGAGAGCACCTGGACAGAGGTCGGAGTTCACACTGGGCACTTCAGCCTCAGGAGAAGAGTGATTTCTGGAGTGGAGTTGCCTGCGTTTTCTTACAAAACAAACCCACTGGACTGGGACAGGCTGGCAAGGGAAAGCAGCAGTCAGCATCTTACTTGGGACTGGAGCTGTACCAGGAGGCCTGAGATGGGCCATGGGATCCAGGGGAGAAGATGGCATGGTGTGTGGTGTTTTCAGCACTAGGGAGACAGTAAAGGAAGCACGGCACCTGAGTCCTTGGGGACACCTCTACTCCATCTTCCTCTCCCCTCAGGAGGGCTCTGTGTGTTAGAATACTCTCACATAGAGTCATGCCCTCTCTTCCATGCACACGGACATGAGCGAGCAGCCCTCTGAGAGGCCATCTTGAATCTCTAGCTGTCAAGTACCCAGAGTTTTCAGTTCTCCAAGTGAGGTTACAGGCTCTCTGCTGGTGGGCACACCGCTCTAGGTCTACCCAGAGAAACACTGTCTCAAACACCAAACCAAAACAAATGGGGAAAAAAGAGGAGGAGGAGAAAGGAAAGCAAGAAGAAGGCGGAGAAGACACAGAAACAGCAGCAACCACTTCCAAATCACCTGCCCCTTTGGGCTCCAAATCCCACATCTTTCACTGTTTCCTCTTGCTTTGTCGAGTTATTTATTTTATTACTTTTATCTGTGCATGGGTGTTTTCCCTGCTCATATACTGTGAGCTCATATACCATGTGCCTGCCCGGTGGCCAAGGAGGCAAGCAGAGGGATTCGTAGCCCTTGGAACTACAGTTATAGACAGCTATGAGCCGCCGGGTGAACGCTGGGAATCAAATCCACGTCTTTAACTTCTGAGCCACCTCTCCAGCCTCTTGCTCACTTTTTTAGTGTGCGTGTGTGTGCACGCTGATGTATACACATGGGAGTGTAGGTGCATGTTTGTGCATGTGTGCCTGTGTGGAGGCCAGAAGTGAACATCGGGCATTGATCCTCGGGAACCATCCACCTTGTTTTTATCTAGAGCCTCTCCCTGGGACACAAGTCTTGTCAATAAGTCTGGGCTGGCTGGGGAATGAGTACCAGGGATCCTGAGGTCTCTCACCCCAAGCATTAGGACAACAACCACATATCACTACCCCTGGCTTGCCATTTAGGCTCTGGAGATCTGAACTCATGTCCTTATGAATGTACGGCAAATGCTTTACCGACTGAGCCATCTCTCCAGTCCCTTGCTCGGTTTTAAAAATAAACATTAGCTTCCCAACCCCCACATGGCAGCTCACAATTGTCTGTGAATCTAGTTCCACGGGATCCAACACCTTCACACATATATGAAGGCAAAAACACCAATGCGTATAAAAAAATAAATTAATTAAAAAAAGAAACATTAGCTTGTTTTCCCTCATAAAGTTACAAAACCAGGCATAGCAGAGGAGAAAAGTCAGAGGCCCACTTCTCCTGACTCAACATCCAGGGCAGGGAACCAACAGGAGGGGGCAAAATACTCACAGAGCCAGGAAGAAGTGGATTGGCCTATACTGCCAGGAGAAGAGCCCAGCGCGGCTGAAGTAAGCTATGACCATAGACAGGAGGTACTGACGGAGAGAGCAGACAGGAGAGGAGCCGTCACACCCTGGAGAGGAAGACCGTAGGGACAGGGGACAGGGGCTGAGGTGGCCTGAGGCTCAGAGAGGAGCCCCGAGGTTTGGGTGCCTGCTGGAGTGGGGAAGGGAGGGTGAAAGGGGCCTTCAGGAAGGCCAGGTCAGAGGCAGGAGGCCCTTGTTGTTCCAGCATGGCTGGCTCCGGGTCATGAGGGAGTCTGAGGGAGGACTTAGGACAACCGGGACAAAGAGGTCTTTGCCCAGCAGGAACAAAGGGTCCCAGAGAACTGTGGGAGAGAAGAAGCAATTCCCAGGGTAAGATGGTGACCGTGGGCTCAGACTCCAGTGAGGCATGGGACTCCTGTCCTCTCTGTAAGACACTGATGTGCCCTGAAGAGAGACACTGGCAGGATATCGAGGGTCAGGACTGTGTGACTTCAGGTGGCTCGGGGTTGGGACAGAGGACAGTGGTCAGGGAGGCCCCTCCCTTGCAGGACAGGATCTGGAGCCCAGCTCAGCTCACCTTATCAGACACTCTCAGCGTCTTGTCCCAGGCCAGGAATTTTTTCACCACAGGATCCTCTGTGAAGGAAGCGCATGTGTCATGGTGTGAAAGGGAGGAGCTTGGGAAGAGCCAGGAGAATGGACTCCCTGGGGGTGAGTCAGGAGAACCCACCCCCTGGGGAAGAGCCAGGAGAAAGGACACCCTGGGGGAGAGCCAGTAGAACCCACCCCCTGGGGGAGAGCCAAGAGAACCCACCCCTGGGGGAGAGCCAGGAGAACCCATTTCCTGGGGGAGAGCCAGGAGAACCCACTCCCTGGGAGACGGGTCAGGTCAGAACCTAGGCATAGGCACAGGAGCAAAGGATGGAGTAGGCACATGTGCTGGAAGTCCCACATGAACCTCCGGGGAGGAGACGCTGAGAGAGCCTTAGAATACAGTGGCATGCATACATGCTTAGATGGCATGTATACATATTTAGATGTCTTTTATGTATGTGTTGTTCTGGGATCAATCCCAGGTCTTCTATATGCTGAATAAGACTCTACCATGGAGTTCCATCCACAGTCAAGGACTAAGATGTCTCTTCCCATCTGATGTCTCTTGTGGTTATGAACATGGATGTGCTGCCCTTGTGTGGGCGAAGACACCCCAGCTCAGCAAAGTCAGAGCACAATAATAGCTGGGGTAGTGGACTCCAGCCTCTCTCATCTCCGTGGGGACGCATGCCAACTCTAGCCTAAGACCTTGCCACCTATGGGTCCCTGAGACTCAACTGAGCTGGAGCCTCCCAGGCTGACCGCTCTGGACTGGGAGGGCAGCTTTCTCACAGGGAAGGAGGCTGACTAGAAGTTTCCTCCTTCGCCTAAGGAGGGAGCCATGCGGTGTCACCTACCCAGCAGCCTGGTGAAGACCTTGTGGTGTTCAGGCCTCACCATAGATGCGCGCCTCCTCCTCAGCGTCATCCTGAGCCCACACAATGTCTCCACGGACCACACCGGCTCAGGCTCAGGGTCCAGCAGCTCTGCCAGGTCATCCTCAGAATCCGATGACAAGTTCCTCTTCCTCTTTGGGCTGGTGGATGGAGGCTGGGAGTTGGCCTCCACTCTTGGTTCTAAGTGAAGAAACCACACCCCAGTGTGAAGCTCAGGCTTTGGTGAATCTCAGCCCTGCCCCTCGATACCCCAAACACCCCAAACCTCTTCAGCTACTGCCTTTCCCCAAATCACCGTGCCGTTTCCCTCTGTGCTGATGGCCACCTGCCCCTCACCTTGTCCCCACCCCCTCTCCCCGTTCCTCAAGCCTCTTCCTCATCAGGGACAAATTGTCCCCATACAAAGGAAGTCTCTTCTTATGTCCCCTCTTCTCTGTCCTGTCTCTGACTCTTGGAGCCTAACCCCTTCCTTGGACTGCGGGTTTTCAGTCCATGTGATATCTGTGTCTGACTCCTGTCCTCCCCGCCCCAGCCTGCCTCCTGGGCCTCCCTCCTTCCTCCTGTGCCCTTCCTCCTTGCCATCACCCTCTCACATCTCTCCTCACCCAGTGCCCTCACCTGCTGGTCCTGAGATCTCCCCATGCGTCAGCACCCCAGGTGAGGGCCTGGTGATGCCAGGCTGAGGACTCTGTTCCTCAGAACACAGTGACAGTTGGCCAGCGGTCACGATTCTCCCAACCTGTTTCTTCCCTTCCACAAATCCCAGACTTTGGTCTATCCCACCCTCCTTTTGGACTCTCGCTGGATCCAGGCTTGATGCTCCTTCCCTAGTTGAGGAGATCTCAAGAATGGTGCTCTGAGAAGACACTATTGTCATTTGGGTTGCCTAACCCCACAGAGTGTGTCCTTCATATGAGGAGTGCGGGAGCCCGTGATGTCGTCAGCTTTTCGACCTGAAAGCCAGCTTGAAAGAAAGCTTTGCAATTTATGGATTAATAAGTCCACTTTCTCTCACAATCTAGGGTTGACATGTCTCTGACCTAGACTCATTCCATGAACAAAGTCATCTTCCAAGTTTGGGTCCTGCTTTCCTCTTTGTGTACTGGGTGAGGGATGAGGCTGGAGAGATGCCTCGGTCATCAAGAGTGATTGGTGTGCAACCAAAAGGACCTGAATTCAGATCTCAGCAACCACACAAGCCAGACACAGTGACCCAGGTGGTGTGTGTGTGTGTGTGTGTGTGTGTGTGTGTGTGTGTGTGTGTATGGCAGAAGGGAACAGCAGAATTCCATGGTTTTGGCTGCTAGCCTAGCTAAGATATGACAAATAAGTCACAGAGTGATAAAGTATACCCAGTGCCCTCCCTGCCTCTTGCACACTCAAAGATCTACATAGGTGTGAATACACACACATGAAGAGAGGAAGACATGCTATGTTGACTTGTGGCTTCCCCAGAAATACAGATATTTGTGTTAAGCTTCCCTGATTCTAATCACAGAAGCAAGAGTCCTGGCTTAACCATTGACTGATAGACATACACAGATTTGGAATATAACAGGGACACACACACACACACACACACACACACACACACACACAAATAGAGCAAATCAAGGTGTTGAGATGTAGTTCAAGAACTTTTTACCAAGCCTGTTGTTCTGCATTTGATCCACGATTCACATGGTGGAAGGAGACAACCGACTTCCACAAACTGACTCTGACCTCCATATGTGTGCCATGGCAAGCACACATGAGCACACATTAAATAAAGAAATGTCATCTTTTCTTTGAAAAAGGAGTGAGGTTTCTACTGAGTGAGCAGCAAGGAGAGAGTGATCCTGAGTGAGGGTGGCATGAGGGAAGCCTCTCTTGGCTGAGTGGAGGTCTGGAGCCCTTCTCTGAGGAACTATAGCCCATGCCTCCTGCAACTTCCAATGCCTATGTAAGCATGGAGACCCGGAAGGGAGGCTTCGGCAGGGTGCCCCCCTCTCCTTCCCCACATCCTGTTGGGTCTGCAGCTCCGGCCTTGCTCTTGACCTTGGTGAGTGGTTGTCCCCACCTGATATGTGAAGCATATTGTTCTGTGACACCTTCCAATACCCAGTGAGACCCTGGAGCAGAGTGGGGACAGAGACGGAGCAGCTGGGCTTCTGCTACTTCTGCCCACAGTGGGGTCTCAGGGTCCAGATTCTCTGTCCCAGATGGTCACATGTACCAAATGGGGCAAATACGGGAAGTAGCAGCTGGAGTATGGCTTAACCGTTTAAGCATTTCCCACACAAGCGTGAGGCCTGTAGTGAAACCCCCAGCCACACCCCACAACAAGCCAGTGGGTGTGGCAACCTGTCTGTAATCCCAGTACTCAGAAGTGAAGCCAAAGAATTCCATATGCTGGCCGGGCTACCAGTTGCACTCCGGGTTCAAGGGACTCTGAATAAATGGAGCATAATTGAGGAAAACATACAATGTCAACCTCTGGTCTCCACACACATTCACTCATACATGTCTGTGCGCCCATATACACACTTACCCACATACGAACATGCACACACATGCATGAACACCATGCACGCATGAAAAAAATTACTTTTCTTAAATGTAGAAAAATAGCACTTTTAGGAAATCAGACCCAGACAGAGACAGAGACATACATACATACAGACAGACAGACACAGAGAAACACACACACACACACACACACACACACACACACACACAGAGAGAGAGAGAGAGAGAGAGAGAGAGAGAGAGAGAGGAGTCTGACTGGCTCTAGTTCACTGTTCATATGCAGACTTCACAACTCAGTGAACAAGAGGAGACCAGGCTCAGCCTCCAGAAGCCAGTCGAGCCCCTAAGTGGAAGGTCCTGAGTGGGGTCTCAGCATCTGGAGGCCACCGGTCAGAGCAGGGAGGAGCAAGGTGCACTGGGCACATAGCCTTCCACTGAGAGCTTTCCATGTGTGGTAAAGTAGAAGCTGGGACTGGGAACCAAGGCAAACACCACTCGGATCTTCACTTTGCTCTTCAAGGCATCCAAACACAAGGTTGCCACCAGAGGTGTGGTTATGTTTCATCTCCTTGTCACTTAAATTTATGAGGCTGGAGAGATGGCTCAGTGGTTAAGAATACTGATTGCTCTTCCAGTGGACCCAGGTATAATTACCAGTGCCCACATGGTAGCTCACAACCATCTGTCACTCTAGTACCAGGAGGATCTGAAGCCCTCTTCTGGTCTTCAAAAGTACTGCACGCATGTGCGTAGTCATACTTGCAGGTTAAACACACATACATACAAAATAAATCCTTTTTAATTATGTTTTGCAGCGCACATGTGTGGATACACATATATGTGCATGTAGACAAGACATCAGGTCTTCCTCAACTGCTCTCCACTTCATTAAACAGTTAAAGTTTATTTTATTTGGGGCAGGGTTGGGCAGAAGCAGAAGCCAGAAGCAGCCTTCTGGAGTTATCACTCTCGTTCCCCCACGTGCGTCAAAGGGCTTGATCTCAAATGGTCAGATCCGGCAATGGGTGCCTTTACCCATTGAACCATCTCACCAATCCTCCACCTTGTGTTTTTGAGACAGAGTTTCCTACTGAACCTGGAGCCTGTTGACTCATTGAGACTCACTGGTCAGCAAATGCAGGACAGTCTCCTGTCTCCACCTCACCAGCTCAGATTACAGGCCCAAGCCACCCTACCTTCTTTTTTTTTTCTTTCTTTCTTTTTTTTTGTTTTTTTTTTTCTTTTTTGTTTTTCTGAACAGGGTTTCTCTGTAGCCTTGGCTATCCTAGAACTCACTTTGTAGACCAGGCTTGCCTCAAACTCACAGAGATTCATCTGCCTCTCCCTCCCGCGTGCTGGGATTAAAGGAGTGTGCCACCACCGCCCAGTTCTTTTTTTTTTTTTTTCTACATGGGTTCTGGGGATTTGAACTCAGATCCACGGATTTGCATGACAAGCACTTTTCTCACAGAGACATCTTCCTAGCCCCTGGGAGAACACAGAAGCAGCCACCTCCTGGAAGTCACATGGAGAAGTTCCAATTATGTGCAGGAGGGGTCCCGATAGTGGATAGCCCGAGGAGCCAAGAGGGATGGAGGAAGCCCAGTACTTACGACTGAAGAAAGCAAATTTAGACGGCATGGCACACAGAGGCAAGCTCCAGGACCCAACCATCCATGTGGTTACCTGCAACAGGATAGCAATTTAGTTCGTGGCCTTGCTGCTGTTCTAGAGCCAGAGAATGGGGGAAGCTGGTGGAGGAGAGGCCAGGGGCAGATATGGTGACATTCCATACTGGCCTGGGACTGCAGGACCAAGTTCCCACATGCCTACCCTAAGAAGTCACCCAAGCAAGATTCAGAATACAATTGACCATGATGACACGCACCTGCAATCCCAAGGCTTGGGATGCTGAGACAGGAGGATTGATACAAGTTCCAGGCTAGCCCGGGCTAAAGAATGAGACCTGTTTCAAAAACAAACAAATCATATTGGGGGGGGGCCGACAGGCTTATTCATTGGTAAAATCTTTACTGTCCAAATATAAGAACCTGGCTCAACCTTCAGCACCCACATTAAAAAAAAAAAAAAAGCCAGGTATGACATTTCCCTGTAATCCCTTGCTGGGGAGACAGAAGCAGAAAGATCCCTAGGGTTCACTGACTGGCCAGTCTAGCAGAATCAGCAAGCTCCAAATTCAATGAGAGACCCTTTATTTAAAAATAAATAAGAGTGAAGAGTAATTGAGGAAGATATCTGACCTCTGATCTACACACACACACACAGAGGGGAGGGGGAATAAGTAGTGAACTGATGAATAGTCTTGAAATGAACATGTTTTTGTTTGTTATTTTTTATGTATATGGGTGTTGTGTGTGGGTTTTTTTTATGTGTAAGGGTATTCTGTCTGAACACCGTAAGAGGTCATTCAGATCCTATAGGAGTACAGTTCTAGATGGTTGTAAGCCACCATGTGGTTGCTGGGAATTCAACCTAGGACCTCTGAAAGAGCAGGCAGTACTCTTAACCACTGAGCCATCTCTCCAGCCCCCAGGGGGCATGATACCACGAGGATGGCGGTGATAAATAAGTCGGAGAACAGCAACTATTGGCAAGAATGCGATGAGCAGTCTACATTGCCGGCAGGATTGCAAAATGGTGCCGTCAAAGTGAAAAATGGGTTGGTGGCTCCTTACGATGTCAAACACAGGATTACCAGATGACATTTCAGTTACACTCCTGGATGCTACCTGATCAATCTCTACACAGGTACCTGTGCAGGAATTAGAACACGGGTGTTCACTGTGACTTGGTTCATCATAGGCAAAAAGTAACAACCCTCCCAGCATCTATCAGCAGGTCAGCAAGTGTCTGTCGGCAGATGAGGGCATAAACAAAATGGGATCTATCTACACAATTATGGAACCGTAGGATGAGACAAAGGGCTGGGGAGATGGCTCAATAGGTAAAGGCATTTGCAGTGACAGCTAGATGACCTGAGTCACAGCCCCAGAGCCAAGGTCAAAAAGAAAACAAACAAGCAGAGGCAGTAGCTTGTCTGGAATCCCAGCACTCCAATAGCAAGATGGGAGGAGAGCAGAGGAGACTGCCAGAAGTTCACGGGCCTGGAATCTGCCCTCAGGAAGCTTTCTGGCCAGCTAGCCCAGAGTACCCAGCATAGGAACAACACAAGATCTGCCTCGGAACAAGTGGAGCGAGAGTGCCACCTCCCCAAAGTTCTTTTCTTGATCATACATGCATCATGGCACATGCATGCTCACACACAAATGAAAAAAATTAAAAACGAGTGAAATGTTGGTGCACACACACGCTATCTACACATCAGGTGCACACATCCATACCACATATCTCCCCTTGTTGTGTCTCTACTCTTGGCTTGCTTCATGACTATAGAGTTGGTCCTTGAAAATCCCATTTGATGGTCAGAACGTCGGGTCTTGTGAATAGGAGATGCTGCGTGAGACAAGACAACTAAGTACTCTCTGGGTCACCCTTCCTAGGTGGCCTCCTCCCTTCACTCCCTCCGGGGTAAGAGTACACATTGGAATGCTTCATTCCAAGACGCAGTTTCTTCCCCCTTCTTCCCTCTAGTCTGTGATTCCATCTTGGTTAACAACTCGCTCATTCCAGTTTCTGACTGATGTCCCACGTTCCCACAGCTGGCAATGTGAATGTCTGCCTGTACTGAATTCCTGGGATGAGAGAGCTATGGAACGTTCTGTTTGCTCAGGGAGCACTGGGATGGGGTCCAGTGTCTGCCCCCCCCCAAATAGAGGATGGTGGCAGGTGTTGCATCTGGAGAGGTTGATGCTTATGCATGACTTAGAGTTAAGAATCTTTACTATTAAACAAGGGAGCTTGTTTGTAAGTTCATCTAAGGTGCACAGCATCACCCATGTTCCAGAATGTGCCTGCCCAATTTTCCATGTATCCCCACAGAAAATGTTCTATTAGTCTATAAAGGCTTGCTATTGACCTTGTCTCTTAGAGCACATGAGTTAGTATTTATTTTACTTCGCAATTTTCCTTTAAAGTATTTTTGCATTGGTATGGAATATTTGTGTAAGTGAATTTATCATCCATGTTCTCTTGCAACAGTGCATCACTTTTTCCTTGTAAAACATATTTTGTATACGGATATTTTGCCTTCATGGTTGTCTGTGCAACATGAGTATGCAGTGCCCATAGAAGTCAGAAGAAGGCACCAGATCCCCTAGGACTGGAGTTATAGCCAGTTGTGCACCACTAGGTGGGTGCTGGTAATCCAGTCTGGGTCCTCTAGGATAGCAGCCAGTGCTCTGCTGCTGAGCCACCTCTCCAGCCCCAAGAGCACATATTTTCTTTATATATATATATATATATATGTGTGTGTGTGTGTGTGTGTGTGTGTGTGTGTATAATGTATATATATATACATATATATATAGTGTATACAATATTCTGTCTGTATGCCTGCAGGCCAGAAGAGGGCACCAGACCTCATTACGGATGGCTGTGAGCCACCATATGGTTGCTGGGAATTGAACTCAGGACCTTTGGAAGAGCAGGCAGTGCTCTTAACCTCTGAGCCATCTCTCCAGCCCAAGAGCACATATTTTCATCAAGTATATCATGACCATTAATCCCTCAACATCACTACTTCTGGTTCCACATTTTTATCATCTTCTTTGATGTTGTTAACTTGTACTACATGGTTTGAAAAAAAGATTGGACTGGGCAATTAGCTCAGTGGTAGAACACCTGCCTAGAATCCCTCAGTGAGGGACTGGTGTGTGGCTCAGTGGTAGAGCACCTGCCTAGAATCCCCCAGTGAGGGCCTGGGGTGTGGTTCAGTGGTAGAGCACCTGCCTAGAATTACCCAGTGAGGGGTTGGGGTGTGGCTCAGTGGTAGAGCACCTGCCTAGAATCCCCCAGTGAGGGGCTGAGTGGCTCAGTGGTAGAGCACCTGCCTAGAATGCCCCAGTGAGGGACTGGTGTGTGGCTCAGTGGTAGAGCACCTGCCTAGAATTACCCAGTGAGGGGTTGGGGTGTGGTTCAGTGGTAGAGCTCCTGCCTAGAATCCCCCAGTAAGGGACTGGGGTGTGGCTCAGTGGTAGAGAACCTGCCTAGAATCCTCCAGTGAGGGGCTGGGGTGTGGCTCAGTGGTAGAGCACTTGCCTAGAATCCCCCAGTGAGGGGCTGGGGTGTGGCTCAGTGGTAGAGTACTTGCCTAGAATCCCCCAGTGAGGGGCTGGGGGTCGTGGCCTAGCAGTATTGCACTTGCCTAACATACAGGAAGGTTTGGGTTCTATGCCCAGCAATAAGATATAAATAAAAGATTACATTTTGCTTGTTGCCATATGGTAAAAAGTCCCCCCCTTCCCATTTTAAAGAGTGCTTCCTTGAGGAAATTCACAGTAGAGATACATATTGTCTCTTTGATACACATCTGGTTTTAAAATTATTATTATATAAGCTTTCTGCCCTCGTTTCAAGCAAAAACTTCCTTTTCTGAAAGACCCGAGAGTCCCTTCTTGTCAAGATAAACCTCAATGAAAAAGCGTATCTCTATCTTCCTATCACCTGAGGAATTTAATCAAGCTATGAGTCTGCCTTGGACTCAATAACCATAACACTCTGTTGAGAGTCACAACACCTCAGTCCACTGAGGAGCAGTAGCTCTGGCAGGCACACACAGCTGCTACCTGTTGCTACTATTGGAGGCCATATATTACAACAGCTGCCACGTGCCAGGGCCACCGGTGGGTTAAAGGCCGGGACATTAAGTCTCTAGTTTGTAAAGCTGGACACAGTAGACCTCAAGGTCAGAACTGGTCACTGAAAGCCTGTAGGCCTGCTGGTCCAGCTAGTAGACCATGGGCACACCTGGGATGCTGGCACTGGGTGAGCTTCTCCTTGCCTACTCAATTCCTATCTGGGCAGAGTAGAAGGATCTCAGCCTGCTGGCTCGTGACCCTTGTTCTGTCTGTACACATGGAAATCTTTTCTTAATACAAAAACCTATTCGGCTTGAAATATCCTCATTGTGAGGAAGGAATTCCTTTTCTGAAAGACCTGAGTCTTCTCTGTGTGATGTAAATCTCGGGAAAGGGATTTATCTCCCTGTCACCTGGAGAGTGTAGTCCGGGCCCCTTATTCAGAGATGTAACTACCTGCTTGTCACATGGATGTGGGAGTTTTTGCTTCATGAGATAAGATTAGCTCAGATGGACCCCTCAGATACCAGGTGACATCAGAAGGGACTTGGGTGAAGAGGCAGCCAGTCTGGCAGTGGAGTCCTTCCAAGGCACCCTGCAGTATCTGAGGGACTATTCATGATGCTTCTGTCTCTGGCTGGTTCCTCAATAGTTTACCTAAAATTGGCACTTCAAGATGGCTTGCTGCTGCTTCTATGATAAAACTCTTTTACTTTCTGCATCGGAGAACTTTCTGAGTTGGCAGAGTTTGTTATCAATTTTGACACTAACGTCTTTATGAAGGATTAGGCCAAGAACCCTGTTGCATTATTTCAGCAAGAAATTGATGAATTGTTCATCATATTGTATCATTTGTAGGGTAAAAGGGCCAACCAAAGACGCCCACCCTGGTCCTGAAACCAGAACCAGTGAAAGAAATGCTTTAGCCCCAAACCCAGAACCAAAGAAATGCACCCTGACTCTGAAACCCGTGCCAAAGAAACACACTTTGTCCCTAGAATAGAACCAGAGTCACTGAAAGAAATATGCCTTGGCCCCAAAACTGGAGCCAAAGAGCTTAAAAAGGCCAGCGAAAGAAACACAGTTTGACTCTGAAATCAGCCATCTCTGCACCTGATCAACTGAACTAACCAATCACTGAGCAGGAAAACTAGCCAATCCCTCTTCTTCCTGGGAAAATGCTGCCCCTAAGAAGCCCTATATAAGCCCTGTGCCTGTGCAGGTTCAGACTGCTCTTCTTCCACCCTGGCAGAGGCAGCCAATCTCCTGGATTCTTCCCTCCCAATAAATTTCTTCAAGAAGATCTGGGTGAAGACCTTCTTTCCGCAAAGCAGAGATGGAGGAGAGAGGGACTGTAACACTTTGGCCTCGCAAGCCTTCCCCTAATAGCCTTCCCCTAGCAGCCAGGAGTTGTTACAATCTGTTCCAACCTCGCACGAGAAGTCAGAAGCAGAGTTTCGCTGGGGGAATCCTTCCCCTAGCAGAGCCGAGTTGCTACATTCAGGAGCCCCAGAGCCGAATTCTAACAACTTCAAGGGGAAGCCCTCTCCTGCTGGAGAAGAGCTGTCACTTTGGGGAAACCTTCCCTAGGGCAGGGCTGTAAGCTGCTATGCTTCCTGTGGTCTGTGCTATTCTCTGGCTCCCGACTACTAGAGCGCTCTTCCACCCTTGCTGTAACACTCAATATTCCTGGCTACCGACCGCCAGGATCCCTGTCCTTTTGAGCTGTGACACTTCCACCATTTTTGAGAACTTTTCATCATTGCCTGACCCCAGATACCGCATTACTGTTTTGTTCTTTCCACGTGTTCTTTTCTGGTTCTGTTTGTAACGTTTTATGCGATCTAGAAAACCCACCAGTTGTGTTTTCTCTTCCTTCTCTGGAAAGCATTGCTGGGTATTTCTTGTGCCTAGTATTTCAAGGAAGTTTGGTTAATTGAGAATGATACACAGCTTCCTTTTCCTTACGTCAGAATCTTCCTTCTATTTCAAGAGTCCCAGGCCTGGAGAAGATTTGGGTCTTAAACCCGCAGGCCGTTTCTCCAGCCTCAAATGGAGTGAGGCCAAACACGAAGGTGAGAGCAGGCCTGGGGGCGGCCATTGCTCTCAGAACGCCATCTTCAAGCGGCTGGGAGGAGGTATATTCTTGCGCGACGGTCCCTAGATGCAGCGGCGCGAAGACTTCTGGGAGATAGAGTTTCTACTCCACTCCTAGGGAGAAAGGCGAGCCCTGGAACTCGGGCTTCCGGTAAGATGCTGCCCACGCGCGCGTCTCATCCTCTGCGCGTGCTCGTGCATGCGCACGGCCTCCGCGCCGCCCAGATTTCCTGCAGGTTCTGGGTTTAAGCTCCCTTCCCTCCTGCAGCTTTTGCTTTCTCCGAGTTGGAGTCGCAGATCCTGTGAGGGCCGAAGCCGGAGCTTTCCGGTCTGCAGCACAGTGCGGAGGCCAAGGACTGGGAGGACAGGGGCGGCGGGACCGTCTGCTCGGTGTGGCCCGTGGGCGCAGATCGGAGCCGCCGGAGGGAGGCTGGGCCTGGCCGGTCGCTCGCCGAGGTCCTACCGATGTGCGTCAGCCTAGGCTCCCCGCTGTCCTGTGCGGAGCCCGGGAGGGACGCAATGGTCGGGCTGACAGCGGAGCAGCTGCACGGCTTTGGGGTGCATGGACGGTTTGAGGACGAGGTGTGCAGGCACTGGAAGGGTCAGCGGTTCCAGATTCCCACGGTGTCACTCAGCGTCCATCAGCACCAGTGCTCCGTCTGCTGGTTCCTACGTTTGTAGCACTTTGTCTTCCCTTGTAGCATCATAACGATCTAGTGCAGGAAGTCTGCTTTTGCCTCTGCTCATGGAGGAATCAGTGCGATGGTGTGCGACTTAACCAAGGTCGTACAGGGGTTTGTGGATAAGCGTGCCATTATTTTCCAGTTTCTCTCGTATTCCTTTTGAAAATGGGCAGCAGTTGCCAAGTTTAGTTGAGTAGTTTGAAAAGAAACCACGCTTTATTACTGTTTATACGACGTCTGCCCATCTGGACCACTTTTCCCTACGTTTTTGTTTTTGAACCGTGATCTCCCTGTGTTACCCAGGTTGTTCTGGCACTCGGTGATCCTCCTGTCTCAGCCTCCAGAGAACTGGGAGTACATGTATGTCACCTCATGGAACATTAATTCCAAGTGTACAGAGCTCAAAATTTTTCATTCACGTGACATATTTTCACCAATTTGAACAGGAAATAGAAATAGAAAACAGGAAAATTGAAAAATAACCTTTTTGCACCTTTACATCTAATGCCCAGGGTCTGAAAAAAGAAGCAGTGTTGAGTTCATTGTGTAGCCCAGCTAGGTGGTGATGGCGCAAACCTTTAATTCCAGGACTTGGGAGGCAGAGGCAAGCAGGTCTCTGAGTTCGAGGCCACCCTGGTCTACAGATTGAGTTCCAGGACAGCCAGGGCTACACAGAGAAGCCCTGCCTTGAAGAAAGAAAGTGTAGCCCATCCAGCTGCTACCTGCTGGAGTGACTGGTTCCTCCTGTCACCCATGTCACCTCTTCAGAGTGTTTGTAGACCGTGACATTATTTGGCGGTCCCCAGGCAAGAGATGTGTCCCTGTGTAGACCAGTTAACATTCTATTTCCTTTTTCTCCCCTAGGTCTGCCATCAGCAGTGTCTGCGCTTTCCCGAGAGCCCCAGAAAATGAGCCGGTCCAAGGTGAGCTTTTCCGTTTGTAAATAGCCTTTTCTCCTTTGTAATGTATTTTGGGAGACTGACAAAGGACTGTTCTTTAAAATGGTGTGGTGATGGAAGACTATAAAGGCGATTATGATATAAAATATAGGCTGAGCGGCAGGATTGCCTTGGCCTGTTGTGTTGGCAATGTGATAATTGTAGGCCAATGGAGTTACTTGACAATGTGAGAGGAAGAAGGATCGTGTCCTTTCCATCACCTGCCTGCAAGTACTGTTGGGAGACGCCACTTTTGGTTGCTTATGGGTGGTAAAGATTTCCTAGGACTTGGGAAATTTTCTTTATTCAGGTTGGTGTGATCATTAATGACATTCATAATAGCAACCTTCGAGTGGGAGTCCTGTGTCAGCAGAGGCCCCGCTGCCCATGAACTTGATACATGACATTTTTCCAGGGACCATATGTGACAGGCCAGTGTGGTCTATTTCCATCTTTCCTCCATCCAGGAGTAAAATCCCTACACTATATGTTGTAGTGGTTTGAGGAAACTTTTTAATAATGTTTCTTTTAAAATGCCTCTTATGGTTTTAGGGTTTGGTTTGTTGTTTTGTTTTGTTTTTTTCTGCCTCCTCCCCCCAGAAACGGGTTGGTTTATTTGGTGTTTCACAGTTTGGGATTTGTTGCCATTGTCTTTACCTTTAAAGTAGTTGAAAAATTTTTTGCTTGCTGTATGAGATTGGTTCTTTGCTCAGAAAGATTAATCAGAGTGTATCTGTTCATTTTTGTTGTTGTTGTTTTGAGCCAGGGCCTCACGTAGCTCAGGCTGGCGTCATGTAGCTCAGGCTGGCGTCATGTAGCTCAGGCTGGCCTCCCGAGTGCTACTGTAGCCTGAGAATGATCTTGATCCTGGTGAACTCCTGACCCTCCTGCCTCCACATCTAAGTGCTGGGATCACAGGAGTGCACCACCTTGTCCATTACCTTTCTATCTGCATGTTGAAAATTACCCTGACAAAAGCCACTTAAGGGAGAAAGGTTTTATTTGGGTTCACAGTTCTAGAATACAGTCCATCTGGCGGGGAGGGGCTGATAGTAATGTCTTGTCTGAAGTCAGGAAGGAAAAGGGACAGCACGCTGCTGCACACCTCCCTTTGTGTCGGCAGGCCAGCATCCCAGCCGGGCACGGTGACATCCGCAGCAGTAGGGTCTTCCAGCGCCACTGTGTAATCAAGACAGTCCCCATAGGCCCATCTCCCAGGTGACTCTAGATGCTATCACGTTGACAGCACTGACATCAAAACTGTTGTACCAGGCATTTGTGTGTTTCCTTCTAGAAACCTCTGTGATGTTCCTGTCTCTACTGTTGTGAGATTAGCAGTTGTGCGGTGACGGCTGTCGTCACAGTCTGCGAAGGTCTTAGGGAAGGCTGAGTGGTTAGCTCACTCCATGGGCCATTTCCTCTTCTGAATACTGTTGTGAACGTGAACTCGCCACTTTGGCTGCATAGCTCCTGTAGGAAGACAGATTAGATCTACCGGGTGAGCGTCTGAGCAGCGTGCTTCGTGTTTTGAAATGTTTCAAGTATCTCAGCACGTTAATTGTGAGCAACCTTGATAGTCAGATCTTGAGTTTGGAGACCAGATAATCCCTTTAAGGTATTTTCTGAGTTCTTGAGAAATACTTCTTAAATATTTGATAGCATTTGCTTTTTTATTCAACATTTTATTTTGAAGTAATTTCAGATTCATAGAAAAGTTGCAAAGAGGGGCTAGAGAGACGGCTTAGTGGCTCAGGCAGATGGCTGGCGGCTCTCCCAGAGGTCCCGAGTTCAATGTCATGGTGGCTCACAACCATCTATAAGAGATCTGGCGCCCTCTTCTGGCCTGCAGACATCCATGCATGCAGAACGCCATATACATAATAAATATTTTTTTTAAAAAAAGAAAAGTCGCAAAGAAACAAAAGAATGATACAAAGAAGTCTTGTGTTCCTTTTGCTCTAAGGTACCAATTCCTTTTTTAAAAAACAACTTTTTAAATGTTTTGTATGTGCCTACATATATGTGGTGGGGCAATGTGTAGCACTTCCATAGTGTGGAAGTCAGTTCTCTCCCTTCACGTGGATTCTAGGGATGGACCCCAGGTCATCAGGCTGTGTGGCGAGTGCTTTTACCCACTGAGCCTCTCACTAGCCTACCCTGCCAGCATTACTCAGAGAGCAAGATGGCTGCTACAATAATCGACAGTATGCACTCTACAGCACCGGATGTGATAAAATCACTTCACAGAGACAAAGTGATGCTGAATCTAGAGAACGTACGAGCACTTGAGGATTTTGTGTGGCCTTTTTTTAGGGGATCCAACTGGGAGAGTCTCATCCATAGAGTCTTACCCATAGAATTATAGAGTCATACATAGAATCAGAGTCTTACATAGAGAGTTATAGAGTCATATATAAAACTGTAGTATTATACAGAGACTCTGATGCACGGAATCCTAGACACTCATACATCATAGAATTGTATCAGGTCTTTTCTTTTGAGCCACCAGCCAGCTCCCAAATCACGACACAGAGACTTAATATCTTTTATGAATGCTCAGCCTTATCTAGCTCTTATTTGAATCTGTTTCTCTCTATCTACGTTTTGCCTCAGGACATTTTACCTTTCTTTGTGTACCTCCTGCTCTGTGTTTGCTGGCTGGCAGCTGCCTGACCGGCCCCTCATGTCTCCCTCATTCTCTCTTCCTCTCTTCTTCGCGGGCCTAGATTTCTCTTCCTGCTTATTCTCTCTGCCCGCCAGTCTTGCTGTCCCTCCTCTGTCTAGCTGTTGGCTGTTCAGCTGTTGATTAGACCAATCAGGATCCTTAGGCAGGCAAGGCGAAACAGCAACACATCTTTTCATAATTAAACAAATGCAACATAAACAAATGTATCACATCCTTAACATCATTAAACAAATGCAGCAGGAACAAAAGTAACACGCCTTCACACACTTAAATATTCCACAACATAAACAAATGTAACATACCTTCACACACTTAAATATTCCACAACATAGAGTCTCAATCCAAGAATTGTAGACAGACTTAATAATCCTAGGCATTGGCGTGGTACAGTTCCTGACATCACTGTAGAGAAAGAGACAGAGGTGCAGCTTCCACCGCCTCCTCCCAATCCTGGGACACAGCAGAACACTGCACGTTTGTGGGCATTGGAGGGTACAGCCTGCTCCAGTCACCTGTCACTGCTGAGAGCGGAAGTCCTCAGGTCTACATTTTGAGTCATTTTTAGAAGGTTACAAAGAAAATCCCTTTAATTTTTCCCATTTGGCTTCACTTGTTTTTCCATTTGGATCACTGGTTCAGTGGGTGTTCATTCTGTGCTGGCCAAGGCTTAGGGGTGGCTTTATCTTTGTTCAATTAGCTCCTGCTCTTACAGCCTTGCACCACTACAGTGAAATACCAAAGCCAGCAAACTTTCAGAGATAACTGTCATTTGCTCAGTTTTGAAGCCGGTAAGCAGCATCAGTTCCCACC